TTTTCTTCCAGTTCAATCAGTGTTCATATGATTTGAAAATTTGTTACCTACATGAAATTTCACCAAGGAACTGTTTAAAATATATAGCAGATACGATGTTCTTGTATTGATAAATCACCTAAACGCAAACAGTACGTATTCGCACAAGTTTCGGGTGATCGGAGCGCCGATGCCGGTGCCCAAGGTTGCAGTAGAAAGTAAACCCGAGAACATTCCACCAACAGCCTACGAGCTTTCGTCCCGCAAGGCTATCCGCTAGTGCCTTATATCTAGCCTTATCTCACTATTCACCTTTGAATTCGACCCGCTCGTTACTACAGATATATTGTTGACAGAGTGGGCGAGCCGTATCAGAGAATAGTTGGAAATAATTATTCTAGATAATCCTGGAAATGTTGCAAAGCACCAAGGATTAAAATATGCTGTATTGTATACTAATATGAGCAAATACTTTAAGCTTAATAAAATTTATAAATTTACCTAAAAAGGTTTAAGGGGTGTGATATTAAAACTATTAGAGAATTTTCGTGTTCAATGTAATATAATCAAAAATAACTAAAATAGAAAAAAATATGTAACAACCCTACATAATTCCAGTTTTGGTCCAAGTCCTGCTCCAAGGTATGCCACAAAGCATGGTTTTGAGCAACCTGCATCCATCAGCCTTCTGCATGTCTTACCAGGTTGTCACTTAAATAATAAATATAAAGTACCTAATAATTTTTAATTTACATTACTTTTCTTTGTAAGCTACATGATTATAATTCAGGATAGTGTATTACATTTTAATATTGCTAAGTCATAATTTTCTTTTTAAAATATTATGGATCTTGATATCTTAAATAAAGTATTATTCATTTATTTATAGTAACAATCTTTAGGAATTTCTGAGAGACCTTAAATTATTTTTTGATTCCAAATGATTGTTATTACATTGCATTTATTAAAAATCAGCTCAACTTAACCTTGAAGAGATTCAATATAGGCGAAATATGAAAGTATCGGCTTGTAAATGCTTTACTGCCGGACATTAACATTCTTATAACTTTTAGAGGATAAGGTACTTATTTTTAAAATACCACGTTAATAAAAAAACTGAGTCGCGGATAAAAGCTTAGGGACAGGGACACCTGGTTTAAAAATTTATTACAAGCCAGCAAGGAAGTGGTTACTTGTAACTTTAAATATCAAAGCAGTATGGTTACAACATATAAGCAGACTATAGCAGGGAAAGACCTTCTCTAGTTTCTGAAAAGTTTTTTGGGCAGCAACAATCCTACAAACTAATTAATTGAACTAATTAAATCTGCTCTATAATATTTCTAGGACTCCTTTTCGGTATCAAATCAGAAGAGGCCTTTGCTGAGATGTAGGCTGCTTACCCAGAGGGGTAGGCAGAGACTACAGATTTCCATTTGGCACGATCCTGACACACCTCTCTCGCCTCCTTCACATCCATACACCTACGCATACATGCTCGTCGGTTAAGGGTACTCCTAATTTGGCCCGTTTCCAATAAATCGCCAATTTGGTCGATAAATTTTCGCCTAGGACGTCCCTTTCCGACTCTGCCATTCACTTCTGCAACATAAATTTTCTTTGTCACTCTTTCCTCATTCATTCTTTCCACATGACCAAACCACCGACGCATTCCTTTCTTAATCCTGGTCACAACATCATCTTGCAAACCACACTCTTCTCTTATTACACAATTTCTTACCCTGTCATTCAGATTCAGCCCTAACAACTCCTTAACGACCGCATTTCTACTGCGTTTATTCTACTCTCGTGCTTCTTCTGCCACACCCAACTTTCACTACCATACGTTAAAGTAGGGACCAACACAGCATTGTGAATTGCCATACGTGCCTTTTTCGACACATTTTGACTCTTCACAATAGAGTGCAAGGCCCCATTTACTCTATTTCCCGCATACAATATATGACGTATCTTTTTTTATAGAAGAGGGGGTAAACGAGTATGCGGCTCACCTGATGATAAGTGACTACCGCCACCCATGAACAAATGCAACACCAGGAGAATTGCGAGTGCAGCAATTCCACAGAAAGGTTGTACGAGGAAGAAAACTCCTACGCTACTCCTACGCACAGTGATGGATCGCCAAGCATCCAGGTGGTGAGTTTTGATGCGACGTGCGTTCGTGAAACTTGGCGGATGGAATTAATCCAAACAACACCTCAGAGCACCTCCCACGTTGATGATTCGAGTCGCTTTGCGCTGGATTAGGTCAAGTGGAGTGGAGTGGAGTCACTGAGCTGCCCCAGTCCGTAGATGAGTACAGTATTAGTAGCATTAGTATTATCTTTGACAAATAAAAATTTACGCGATTTGAAGTTCTGTAAGTTTCACAGAATCTAGATTCAAAATGACCAATCCGATGTCATGAGTATAATTTTAAAACTATAAAATTTTGTTATCTTATTTGTACTAAAACGTTCGTATTTCGCTAATGACCTAATCGACATTGACCTGGTGAAGTACTGCTAGTAATAATTCTTATATTTACGCGAGTACTGCACATGGACTAAAACAAATTTTATGGATTTTTATATATATATATATATATATATATATATATATATATATATATATATATATATATATATATATAAATTTAAATTTGAACGTGGTGAAGGTGAATTTTTTTTTATTTTAGATTAACATATTATGAAATACATCTATCAATAAATACTACTAATTAGGTGCGTAATATTTTAATTTCGATAGTTTAGTTGATTTATTTATTTAGTTCAAATTTTTTTATTTTATTTATTTACTACATACCGAAAGTTCTACTTCTATTTCGTAATATGTTAATGTAAAAGCAAAAAAAAATTGTAAAATATCAGTGCCATAGGCTTCTAGTCCCATCGCCTGTTACAGTCTATTATTTCCAGACGGTAAAAAATGTGAGATGTCTGCCTGCGACTATAGTAATCCCTTTTGATTACTTTTTTTATAGAACAAGCCAATGTCCAGCAGGCAAATTTCTTAAAGGCTATAAATCAAAATCGTTTACGGAATTTGGTGAAATTTACAATGAAATTTATTTTCGAAATAATTTTATGCAATAATTATTTGCATTCGATAAAATTTTTGTTTGATCAAATCCGCTGCAATGGACTGCGGATTTGGTCCCTCACTGAACAAATTTTTTGCCGCAGCCAACTTAACCACTTCCCTAACGATATCAAGCCTTCTATTTGCAGAGTCGAGATTGTGACTCATGTTGGTTGTTTTTGATTTTTTCTTTTTGTTCCTGTGTTAAATCGCCGGAAGTATCATAGAGATTCCTCAACGCCCTTTTGACCAATTACATTAGGACGGCTTTATTTTTTGGCGAATTAGTTCTGGGTTTTTCCGTAACATACTAAAGCCCTCTTTCTGGAATTTTAATGTTTTTTGCTTTTAGAGAAAGGCAAGAATATCATGACCGTACGTGGATATAATACTCATTAATTTTACATATTTATTCATTTAAAAATATTATTGCGTGTTGGCGAACTTCACATGTCTTTGAAATATTTTTTTTATTTCTCAGACATGCACGTTTCCTCACGATGTTTTCCTACACTGCCGGGCACATGGTAAATCAACACTTAAGATTGCAATTAACAATTCCATAGGTACCGGCGGGGACTGAACCCGGTTTTCTCACGTAATGTGAAATTTACAGCGAGCGTTAACCATCTAAGCTACCACAACTCCTTATTATTATTATTTAAATATTACAAATGCCAATATAAGTCTGTATACTTGTTATCTTTACTGGTAACTAACCAACCTCGATTGTTTTTGTACTAGGCTAATATTTTATATTTTTACGCTATATTTATATTTTAAATATTTCTGAAAAATACGCAAACGATAAAAATAAAAATTGCACACGGACAGACGGGTATCACAATTATAATTAACAAATTTCGTTATATACGGCGTTAGCGAAATTCATTTTTTAATTTCCAAGTGCACAAGCGATACTAGGTATAGTGTAATAAGTATAAGTAAACATACCAGTGAGTTAAAATTTTCATGACTTCTCCGAATTGTACTTGATATAGCACTTAGGATATAACATGTCAAGGAGCAGCAAGCTAACAGACATGAAATTGGCACAAATTCGAGATAATATCGTTTGTTATAAATAACATACCGTTTAAAATCGTTTTCGTGACGTCTCGATATCGTAGATATTGAGCGACTTAGGATATAACGTATGGTCAGAGCGCAAAACAGACATGAAATTACAAAACCCAGAACTTGTCACAAGAATGATTCTGGGTGACGCTTTGTTCGAGTTTTTGATAAATTTTTAGTTTACACTGTGCCACCTATTGGAAAGGCTCGTTTGTATAAATCGTTAGAAAAAAAACCTATACTTTCCACAAATAATACTTTCCGCAGTGATCTGTACAAAGTGACTGACACGGCAGCGAAAGAGTACGTAATGATTGACGTTAATGTATTTTTACTTTATGCTTATATTTCAATTGGTCAAAATATTATTTCTTTGATAATTTAGATGACTTTGAATATAGTTTAATTATTTTAATTATTATTAATAATAATGCATCGTCCCACTACGCTTATTGTAAGCTCTGATCATTTGTCTTCATTACGGTCATGAAAATATTCGTGCGAACTTGTGCTTAAAATCACAGAGACGCATGATCATCAAGCGTTAATTTATTTCTTAGAACCCAATAATCCGACGTGTTATTCAGTACATCCTAATATCACTATAATATTCGTGTTGCACGATATATGTGCATCTTTCATGCAAAGTCAAAGTTCGCAACGCAACCTTCAAGAGGGAAACCAATCAACTATCTAATAAACTGGCAAGCGAAATAAATTGCGCTTCGTATCTTGAATAATTCATTATCGAAAAGCACTATTATTGGCTACATAGCAGTTACGAAATAAATGTAGAAAATATGCTATTGCTTTAGCCAATATTAATTTCAAATTTCGCTTAGGCTTTACTAATACAGATAGGGCATACAGATCAGGTATTTTGAAGCAGTTTATTAAATTTATTAAATAGTGTCTAATTCTCCATTTTTGTTTTCTTTTGCAGTTGTTGAGGGTGTTGACGTTACTTATCTGATAGAGTTAGATGTAAGAAAAAGAACAAGACCGTTCAAGTGGCATTGGGCAGCACATATTTGTAGGATGAATAATAATAGATAGACGAAACGTTTAACGGAATGAATACCAAGAGACAGAAAAAGAAAAAGAGGGAGACCAAGTAAAAGGTGGATAGATATTTTTAATCAGAGATGTGGACCCCTGTGGATGCGAGTGCCTCGGGAAAGAAATATATGGAAAGGTTAAAAGAGGCTTACGCCGCAGAGGCAACTGCTACAATATTAATTAAGTCATATATATATATATATATATATATATATATATATATATATATAACCAAAATAAAAAATAAAATATGTTTACAGATAATGCATGTTGCAACTGTATGTACCCGTTTTCGGTTTGTATTCGAGGTCAAAACTTTGTATATATAGGTATTTATGTTACGTAAAAGTGAATATAAACTGTTGTGTACATTCAATAAATAAATAAACACTATACTGTTATATTCTACGTTAGACACTATTTAATATTAAGTCCATCCACATATAAAAGTCCACCCCCGTCAAGTCAAGTCCTGTAAATAGGCCTACTTAATAGATTTCCTCATGGTTTTGTCATAGTTGCCACAATTGGCAAGCGCAGTTTTTTTTTAATATTTTGAAGAGTTAACAGGACGATACCGCTACCCATCTCCCATTTCATTTTCCCTCAGTCGCCTTACGTCATGATATTTGGTATTGGTAGTGGATATTCTACTACTAAACTGATGTGACGCAATTAATGGACCAGTAGACTTTATTATAGCAGGCGCGGATGGTCTTAGTAGCTTGATAAACTGACAAAGTTATTGGGAAAATAATGGGTGCGTTTGGCAGAAAAAAGCGCTAGCAAGCACTTATAAGCGCTAAAATAGTTTTCGGCCAGGACACAATTGCTACTTCAGTAGCGCTGACACAATCCGCCATTTTGCTTATTTTATTTGTTTGTTTTGAAGTAGAGTTTATAAGTTGTTTTGTGCAATATTAGTTTTAAGTAATATAATGACATGAATAAACATATACATGCTATTAAAAACTCATGATTGGTAAGTTTTTAATATGAATACTTTACAAACATATATTTAAATTAGGTTAGATTCCCCGGTTAAAACTAACATCGTGTCCTGGAGGAAAATAGCTACTTACGATTTGACAGCGCTTACCGCTTACGATCGCCATTTTGCTTACAACGCTTGCTAGCGCATTTTTCTGCCGAACGCACCCAATGTTCCATAATGGCACCTCGTACCTAACGGCAAGCGCAGTGTTGGGGGCCTCATCACTAGATGGAGTGTTGATCTAATGAAACATGTTTTCTTTAGTGCTAGAGCCACACTACAGCTATATTACGAGTATGGTTGTACCACGAATAGTTCGGCTCGACCGGGTTACGTTACTGTGTTTCGTATGGAGAGTGTAGAAAATCGGCGATCCTTCTTACTGAAAAGGAGGCATTCCATCTTATTCATCAGGGGTAACAACGCAGCTGTATTTTGATTCTTAATTGAGGATAAAGGTAGATGTCTATGGCCCGCAGTATCGACTTACCATCAAGTGGACTGTGTGCTCGTTCGTCATCCAATACTTTAAAAAAAAACATAAAATATTAAATTGGTAGGAGTCCTACGCTGCCTGGGAGTCTGAATGAGTGAGAACCATCTGCTATCTTTTTCTGCCGCGGTCTAAAAAGTACAGAGAGTCAGTATCACTACAGACTACCCCAGAGATACTCCATCTTTGACTTCAGTGGTTGACAACGCATCTGTAGCTTCCTTGTATAAAACTGGTTAGAGTCATCCACGGGCTGCAATAGCCGCTTTTTTATATAGAATAGGGGGCAAACGAGCATGCGGCTCACCTGATGGTAAGTGACTACCGCCGTCCATGAACTACTGTAAAACTAGGGGAATTGCAGGTGCGTTGCCAGTCTTTTAGAAAGGAGTAAGCTCTTTTCTTGACGGTACCTAAGTCGTATCGGTCCGGTAAAATCGCTAGTGGCAAACGACTCCGCAGAGAGGTTGTACGTGGAAGAAATCTCCTAGTAAAACGCACAGTGATGGACCACCAAGCGATGGTATCGTGAATTTTGACGCGATGTGCGTTCGTTAAATTTGGCGGCTGTTTCACAACTACTCAAAACACTCCCCGTGGTAGATTCGATAGAAAATACAAAGGGATTTAGCATCACTTTCGTAGCGCCAGTAAGAGCCGCAGAAAGACGCGAATCGAGCCGATCTGCGCTGGATGCAGTCAAGTGGAAGAAGCTGACTCTGGGATGCCCCAGCCCGGAGATGAGAACGGGATTAGTAGCATTAATGTTATCTTTGACAAATAAGAATTTACGCGTTAAAGTTCTGTAAGTATCATTAAAATTAATTGTTATTTTAAATACAGATTTTCCACGTACTCGTCGATAACGTAAATAGAATAGTAAATATTGTTGTAATGTAAATAGAATTAATAGTAAATAGAATAGCAAATTTGACGGGTCCGTGGCGCAGTGGCTTAACGATGAGTTGTAGTTGCAGCGCTACGGGCCGTGCCGCGGGTTCGAATCCCGCACGTAACATGTATTTGTATGGCCTACAAATAGTTGTTCTGGGTCTGAATTTATCCTTGTGAAATAAATATAATATGTAAACTGCCATAACGATAAGAAAATCCTAGTTTGGAGATTACGTTCTTTTAAATGAAAAACAGAATATCCAAAAAAAATAAAGCTTTTAAAAAATACGGTTTTGTTATGCGTCATAACTTCTAAATTACGGCACCTTCCACATTTCTATATATTTATAAAGACTTCAAGACACTAAATTCTTTCTGCGTAGATGGGACCATAATAATTAAAAATTGAATGTACTCCGGGTTAAGACGACACATCGACAACGCTATCGCCATACTGATCCGAGTGAATACATAATTTCTATAAAAACTTGAAGAAACGCCGTCATAAGGTCTAAAATTGCGTAGCGCCCGCGACGATTAAAAGCGCTTAGAAATTGTCAGAATCTTAAATTTTTTTAAAAAAATTATTGATTTATGTTATCAAAATAATGAGCAAGCAAGCAAATTATGAATATTGATGTTATAGCGGCGTTGTCTTCGCGCCACAAGCGAAATACACCGAAGCCTAAATCACGCTATCAACATTCCGAATCATAAACAGCATATATAGAACATCTCCGAACTATCACATGGAGTGTTGGCCGCTCCCCGGGCAGAACATCTTGCCCGGCGGAAGATCTCCCCCTTTTCCTTCATCGGCCACAATGTTATGAATATATTTGAGTGATTTCCAAGCATATAGATCAAATGATTTCGTTGTAATTTCAACTAGAGTGATTTTTAGAGGTGTTTTCGCAAATAATTATGATCGAGTCAAAATTATACAATCGTTTTTTTGAGCAATCAAATTCAAGATAAAGACATGAATTTACCTACATCAAAATCCCACTTTCGTTAGTGGTGTCATAGTCCTATACTATTCTATGAAAGGAGGTGCATTTTTTCACGGTGTCGCCTTAACACAAACATCGGGACGTCAACCATATCAGTCCCTCGTGACCACGGGTGTTGGAAAGCACCCGAAACTTTAAAATCAAATTAATTAACGTGTAGTATTTGCGGAAATATAAGAAATCATTAAAGAATCACAAAACTAGAAGCAATGATACTATATGACATATGCCATAATAGATGTGATTGTATGCACAGATGAATTCCTATGTTACAAAATTCCTACTAGGACCAATTGCAGTTGTCTATTTCAATTGTTTCCCACTATACCGTAAAAGGCAGGCAAACCCACCCATGTGCTGGATCGCAAATTCATACAGCACTCTTTAACACAATTGATATTTCGGTAAAAAGATATTAGAAAAGCTAGATTAGTTTCTACTACATAAGATTAGATTACTATAACGCTACCTTTCTATGATATACTTAAAATAATATATTATTTGTGGAACATACTTATTATGTGATAATTGGTGTGAGAGTTCGCGTAGTGTAATTTTCTTTGGTCAAAAAAAAGTCAAACATTTGTAAATATCTCTCTATATATACAGATTTATTTTGCAATTACCGGCCGCATTTGCCGAGAAGGTTCCAAATTAGTAATATAGGAAAATGGTAAAAAAATATTAATTAAAAAAATCTCAAACATTATGTCCTTTTTATCTTTTAAATTCAAAATACATCATAATGTATTATTTTAAGTGATTTTATATGATATGTAGGTAATAAAAAGATAAATTATAAACACAATTAAATAGTTTTTATTTTTGTTGTGCTTGGAACAATCATAAAAACATTTAACAAACACATTTTTTTTATAAACTGACAAATGGAAGCTAATGCTTTTACTATAGCAAAAGCGAAACGTTTTAATTTTTTTAATTAAGAATTTTGGCTTGGACGCTTGTCTTTTAAGTCATATTTTAATTTCATTCAGGATTTTACTACACCACCTACAAATCATAAAACATAAATTAAAGAAAACCCCAGGCCCTGCAAGAATATGGTTTAATGACATACTTACCAAATATTTAAATCTTCAAAATAAGACATATTTGAACTTTATCCATGCCGGGCCCAAACTTGTATGGAATCAAGTTTATCTCCTTTGGCGACTCTTTAAAAAATAGCTAAAACTCAATAACGGCTTGACCGATTTTTGTGTTTTTTTCTGTGTACTCAAATGGATCCTTGGACAGTTTAGATTCATTAGTGTGCACCAAGAAGTAACGACATGAGGGGATAGTCATGATGACATTCGACAATCGTTAAACACAATATTGGAACAGGACTATGTTCAGCAGTAGACTTGCAAGGGGCTGTGATGATGAAGGAACGTTTTATCCAGCTATTAACAAACTGAACTTTTTTATATGAAAACTACGGATTTCTGAATTCTGTGTTAATTTTTAAACAAAGATGATTGGAAACGTCACACTTCACTACACTTGGCAATTAGTCTTTTGCTTTTGTTAATGAAGTACAAACGTTTAAAATAGTTTTAAATGCCAGCCAGAAATTTTGTAAGGCACTTGGAATATTATG